TAAAGGGTTAATTCACCCAAGAATGAAAATTAGCCCACAAATTACTCACCCTCAAGTCATCCTAGGTGTATATGACTTTCTTATTTCAGACGAATTCAGTCAGAGTTATATTAAACATTGTCTTTGATCTTTCAAGCTGTTTAATGCCACTCAGCGGGTGTTGCATGTGTGGCGAAGGCGGTCAAATTGAAAGCATTTACAAAACTAATATCTAACTATTAATCGACTACGCCACCCAGAATACACCGGAAAATAACCTTATCAAAGGCACATTGGTTCGCTACCAAGACAGGGTGAGCATGGAGACGTGGACTGGAAATATAAAGACAAGCACTTTATTGAAATACAAAAGTTAAAAATACACCATACATTAATTCTACACAAGGTCTCGATCACCAAAACACAATTCCAAATTGTACATACAGATACACAAAAAAAACAATAGAAAGTAAAGGAGGTGGCCAGCAGGAGTCCTCAGCCTTCCACCCAACTCAAAAATAAGAAAAACACACTTGTGAAAGCACAGCAAACTTATTAAAATCACAACACTCTGTGTACACACCAATACATTACAACCACAACTGGGCTCTCCCACTATACAGATTGACTGAAAAATACAATACAAAAGAAATTACAAAAATCACAAAATACAGAAAACAAAAAAAACAACAAAATTACACACTCCAAAACAAACAAAAAAACAAACAAAAAAACACAGATAGTCAAATATCTGCTCAAGGAAACAAATAACTCAGACACAACCACAATACAAACACCACACACACACACAACACACACTCACGCAAGCATACACGGCATAAACACAAACTCACGAACCGTAACCAAATTAACCAAGATGAGACCCAGGCAAAACAGCAGCTCCGTCACAGCAGTGGATGTATTCTGCCCCAAACTAACAAATCACAGAAACCCTTGCATGTGCAGTTACCTGCCAAACATAGAAAAGTGAGTTACTCACAATACATTGGGAATTAAAAGCAAGGGAACTCACAATTATACATACTGCGGGAGCGTTATGGCGGCGTACTACACATCGTTACCAGTCATAGGAAATGCAGGCTATTTGTGTGACGACAACTACAAACCATAACAAATCAGCCTCTCTTGTTAATGGACAAAATTCCTTTTAACAACGAGACAAGCCTACCTGTGAACCATCGTGAGCGTCCAACGCACAACAGCCGCAAAACCAGAAACAACGATCCTGGCGGTAACAAACACATTGATATTACCATCCCCTGTATCTTTTCACAAATTTGCGGCTTCACCGCTACTACACCTACCGTCAATTCACAATGGAAGGATCCACAAAAGTCTCCAAACCCCAACAATCAATACCAAGGCCTGAAGAGAGCCACCACTGAATTAGCTACTACACCATTGGGTGTCCTAACACCTACTACAGCCTCACCCACTAACCTTGGCAAGCGATGAACATTTGGATGTTGGCCTGCTGTTGGCCGCCTCGACCTTCATAACGCAGCTTCATTTTCCTGGGGCAAACCGCCGGATGATGGATTTGGGGGTAGTACGAGACTTACCTTCACATTACTAAAATGGCTTGCCCCATCCAAACCGTCAAGAGTTCCCACACCTGAAGCTGGCTTCAAAACTCCCTTGAACCTGTGCCTTCAACAATGAACGGTGGACCCGTTTAACCTTAGCCACGTGGTGCAACAGTATATACAGAACCGCCTACCCTAGGCACTTCCATAACCCTATAGACCACAGAACTCCACACATCTTGAATCTTTTGACGCCCTCTCATACTGCACTCCAAGATAAAACAAGATAAACCAACTGCCCAACCTCGAGTGGCGAGTCTCGCGCTCTCGAATCGAAATACCCCTTTCGACGATCGGCAGCTATTCTCAGACTGTCCCGTGCACCATCAAAAGCAACCTGCAACCTTGTCCGGTGCTCTGCGATCCACTCATGCACTTCACCTGCCACTGGTTCGAAAACTCTGCCCAGCAGAAAGTCCACCGGAAGCCGTGGCTCCTGACCATACATCAGGAAATGTGGCGACTCACCCGTAGCCTGGTGCGGAGTGGTATTATACGAAAAGAGAACCTGAGGGAGACGAGACACCCAATCTCTTTTCTTCGAAACTGGCAGGGTACGTAACAAATTGTGCATTTGTGCATTGTCCTATTGAAGCACTCGCACTGGCCATTTCCAGCTGGGTGGTACGGTGTCGTGCAAGACTTCTCAACCCTATACAATAAGCAAAGTTGCTGGATCAGCGAGGACTCAAAATTGCGGCCCTGGTCTGAATGAATTCTCACCGGGACCCCAAACTTATAGAACCATTCTGTCACCAAAACATGTGCTACAGTCTCGACCCTTTGGTCCCGAGTAGGGACAGCCAAAATAAATTTAGTGAAGACATCAGTCATCACAAGAACATTCTCTAACCCCGACCGAGAAGGCTCTAACAACGTGAAGTCGATAGCCAGGATTTCATTTGGCTGCGATGCCAACAAATGCCCCATAAAACTGCGGGCAACTGGATCCCTGTACTTGGCGCTTTGGCACCGTTCGCACTCATGGCACCACCGAGCCACGTCCCCCATCATACCCGGCCAATAACATCGCTGACGCACCAACTCAGTGGTGCGTTCGATGCCCTGATGCCCATGGTCTTGGTGCAACCCCTTCAAAACATCACACCGCAAAACAGAAGGCAATAAGGGTTATACCACCCTGCTACACATGCTTCAGTCCAAAAGAAGTTAAAGGCATAATATGTAAGATTTTTTGTATTAAAATATCCAAAAACCACTAGAACAGTATTATATATTTTGCTGACTTGTGTACTTACATTATCCCAAATGTTTCGTAGAATGTTTAAATCCAGAGAAATAAGCAATTTTAACTAGTGACACGGACCGTGTCTATAGTGTCATTGTGTCACCTGCCAATGACGTCATAACCCTGTCGGATTGCATCGGCTGTGGGGATGAAGACGACAACTCCCATGATTCCACACTCATCAAACTACGCCTTTGTTTCTTTGTTTATTTTAAATACGAGCCCTCTAGCGGCGAAAATTACATATTGTGCCTTCAAATAAAAGGCGCCCATCCATGAAATAAAAGTGTCTTACACGGCTCCGGGGGGTGAACAAAGGCCCCCTGTAGCGAATCGATGCGGTTTTGTAAGAAAAATATCCATATTCAAAACGTAATTTCTCATTAATCACTTTAATGTAGCTTGCGTCAACAGTTGTACACGGAAGCAGCTCCGGGCTGATGTGAAAGTAAGCGTCTTTTAGATCCACTGACAGAAACCAGTCCTCCGGGCATATTTGCGCGAGGATCTGTTTCAAAGTTAGCATCTTGAACGGCCGTCTCATAAGTGAGTAGTTCAGATGTCTGAGATCGAGAATGGGTCTGAGCCTGCCATCTTTCTTGGGAATGAGGTAGTAGTGGCTGTAAAACGTCTCGGGTTACGTATGTAACCCTGGTTCCTCGAGGGAACGAGACGCTGCGTTGGAAAACGCTAGGGGAATGCCTTATGTGACCACGCTCTGAATAACAAGGGGAACGAGAATGCCCACTCCGCCAGACTTCCAAATCTCTGCCTAGTGTGGAAGACTACACAGCTAGGGCGAGAGAATAGAAGAGCCCGGAGTGGTTAAAGTAGACGGGGCCCGCCATCCCGAAGGCCAACTTCTGGAGGAGTGAATCTTGACCCCCAAAGGATAGGCCGCAATGGCCGCCACAAAGCCCTCTAGGGTGGAGTGGGTCAACCCTGCGGATAATCAGGCCTGCAGGCCTGTACTCCAGAACTGTACCAAATGGGCAGTTAGCTGGGTTGGGCTGGCGGTCTCCGCAGAAATACAGTTTCCTCATAGAGGGAGCTCTGGATGGAGGATAGTCTCAACAACCTC